TTAAGTGATTAAGTTGAACGGTTTTCTGGTGTTCCGATAATCAATACACCCTGCTGCATTCCCTTCATGCTTACATGGTGCGACGGCTGCACCGGGCGGCTGTTGTCATTGCGCTCAGCAGTGCGCCTGGCAGAAATATAATCCACGAATTTTTCTTTAATTCTACGTCAGGCAAAATCACCGGAACATGTGCCCAGATCTTATTAGAAATTAGCTTATTAAATAATAACAATAATCCACAAAATATAACCGAAATCCACAACAGATTATGATAATGGTATCCACCAGACCACCACCAACCAGAGCACCATATTGCGATAATCGATCCATTCAATAATTGTACGTCGTAACAAAACGACAGAATCGGACTGATTCAGTTTTTGTAAAATGCTGCTAAGCAGCCTAACAAGCTACAGCTAAGAAAAATCAAAATCAACACGCTGCGCTGGATGTTTTTCGGTATCCGTGAGCCAGACTGGAACGAAAAGGGCACTGCAGTCTGCAGATAAAGAAGGAATTCTGTGGCACAGATTAGGCAGAGCAATATTTCCGTCGGGTGAGTGGTGAGTCAGCCAGTCTTATCTGGCTGTTCTTCGGTGTTAACGATTTTCCGGCACGTGCATCTGGGGTCGGCATGGTCGTTGTTTAGCGCTTAACAGACCGTGGTATGCCGTGCATGCACTCACTTCCAAAATTACGTTTTTTTTACGCTGTATTTCTATATTATGCAGTGAGCGGGGTCAAGCTCATGGTCGTCCTGCCCGTTGCCATCTCGATTCTCGACACTGATCGTTCGCCGGAAGTGCGACGCGTGCCGGTTGGTGTGCTGTTCGGATTTGCCCTCTTCTTGAAACGAAATGAAGAAGCAGTGGTCGCAAACGAAAACATAAATACAATATAAAACGATTATTACGAATACCTTATCGAAACATTAATACGACGTCCCTCGGCAGTGTAGTCACTTCAGTGAACAATCACCACCATCCCACTACAGGCTGGCGCTGATGCGAGGCTACTTCACCGCTTAAGACCAGAAAGTTTCCACCGGAAACTCGCTGACCTTGAAAAGTGAACTGACCAAACAGCTCAGCCGTTCCATCCAGCCAGATGATGTACATACGCAGCATACGCAGATACTCTGCACATCCCGTGGAAGATAACGCCTCAGTTCGCATAGCGGGTTCTTAATTGTATCTTCAACTGAAAAGCAAAACCGTTGAGCTGCTTGCGTAACTGCCATAATACTGTATACGAAAGCGATAATATACAAAATAAAGCAGGAGCACGTATCTTTCTAAATCGGCTAGAAAACTACATATCAATTTTATCTGCAATAAAATTCAGCGGAGTTCGGATCATAAATCAGAACCGCGTAATGATTTCCGACCATGTTCAACAGGTTGCTTAGCAGTATGTATATATAAAGTATACAAGCACATGTGTATAGCAGTTAAGAGTACCGAATTACCTCCCGCACCAGCGCACAGCATCCTACGTACAAATAAATAATCTACCTACGTTAGGACGACTACGGCGACATCCACGCCAGCCCCGACACCGTTCTCCCGCCGCGAAAACCCCTACACAAGCGCAGCTACTCCGTGCAGATCCACTACACCGAACGCGGACACCCTCCGAAACCCGGCAGCGCCCTGAGCGAGGTCACGGCGCTGTCTTCCCAACTTGGGTAGCCAGATAATTGTCGATTACTTCTTAGCTATCAGTTTGGGGATTTAAGGTAACACATGTGAAACTGACGTTGGCAAAACGGCCGAAGACAGCGGCCATTTACGAATGCGGTCCTGTTTTACGTTCGCTGAGCACCTTGCGTAGATGTTGAAAAAAAACATCTTACGAGGTACCTGATAGCCACTGCAATCCCTCTAATGTGCTGGCACTGATGCGAATACGTCACAGTCGGAAGTCGCAAACTGTTTCCGCCGAAAACTTGCTGACTTCTTACCGTGAACTGGCTAACAGTTTAACAGGTCCATCCAGCCTGTCGTGCATGCAACGCGTGTGGATACATCCATGAAGATAACACCGCAGTCCGTAGTCCACGCTGCTGATTCTTTGAAAGAAATTTCACTGGTAAAGCAAAGCACTTTGCTGCATGCTGCATGCGTACACAACATATCCGAAAGCAAAATTATAAACAGATACGATAGCGATAGCGATATAGCGATAGCACACATATAGCGATAGCACACATATAGCGATAGCACACATTTTACCCGTCCAGTACACCTGCAACAATACAAAACAGAGTTCTGATTACAGGTGAAATTGTTCAGAATAAATTTACCTGCTCGTTAACAGTATGCGCGGAACAAGTATCCCTGCAGAGCAGTTAAAAGTGGTACACGCTCATTCTGCTATAAAGGATAACCTGCATACAGATTGCGATATTGTAAGTGTGATATATTGTTGTTACCATTTTAACTTTTGCCAGATCATCGTTCCACTAACCAACAAGCGGTGATGCGAAGCTACTGCACAGTTTCAGGCCATAACGTTCGCACAAGAAACTCGGAGATCTTGAACACCCGAATTATTCAACCGCTCGTCAGTCGTCCAGGCCATTCATCCAGATGCGGTAGCAACACACGCAATTTCACTGGAGAGCACAACATCGTCATCCTCGATGATGGTTCTTTGTATGCATTTGCACTGGAACAGCAAAATAAATAAATGCGGAACAATAAAATCATCTGGCGCATTCACAAATACCGTAATGGTTTAGTAATCTGCTGTAAATTTTTAGAAAGATGAAAGCAGCTCTGTTCAGTACGCAATATCTAGCACGCATGCGGCTTGATCATTCGTAATCATAATCATCTGTAGTATTTCTAAATTATTAATTTGTCCAGGCCGTAACACGTTCAAAATATGTGCGAACTACAGGACGCAAGTGTCACAGTAAAGCGGAAAGTGGAAACCAGCAAACAGAAAGCAGAGCTCCTCATTAACAGTGAATTCTGCCTCAAATTTGTGAAATGCGGAAAGCCAGTACTGTAGTCTGTATTCTGTAAACAGCTTCGAAAGTGTAAAGTACTAAAAACCACATCTTCAGTAAAGAAAACGAAAGAGGGGAATTTTTCAAGAGAGCTAATTAAAGTAATAAAATTATAAAAGCACACTCATCTGGTGATCTAGAAAGAGTACAATCCGAGAAATCGTGTAGAAGCGAGGTACTTACCTTTATTTCAGCTGGCTTTTTCATCCGCCATCAGCGCTGTCAAACTGTGAACCATTATTCCGAACGAAACGTTTCTCTTTCCATAAAAGCGTTTTCGTTGTCGAAAACTCCACGAAATAAACAAGGCACGTCAATAAACACATGCCTGGTTATCAACATACCACGAGAAAAAAACACCATACGAGATCATCCCCAGCCATGATAGCAAAGTTCGGGAGCCTCGGATAGACAACTCAGAACTGGAAACCGACACGGGGAGTTGGCTAGCAATTTGGTCGCCCGTAAACGTACTGATTCTTCGCCTGGAATACAGGGACTGTCGCACAAGGGAACAGACCAAAGTCATGGATCAAACCGCCCAACGATAATCAGTCCGCGTATTTAAGTAAGTTGCCACAAGGTGACAAGACTGCATGTTGTGCGACATGGAGATTGGTGAGAAGACATGGCCTCTCTATGCAGCACGCGATTTCGACTACATGGAATGGATACGCAGGAAAAGGATTGAAAGATTTTTTTGTTTTGTGCACGGTAAGAAGTATACTACAAATACGTATTGTACACATACAGATGCGCAGCACATGTTCACAATGCTGGGCTGCAGAACGCACTCAATGCAGATACAGTACTAGTAACAAATTTCGAACACGTTCGCCTTGGTCACCTTGCGCTGCAAAGGATCCACGCACTCCCTCGCTCAAGCGGTACAGAATGGATGGATATTAATTTTCTTCTTGAAGAAGGAATAAAGCATTGACGAAGGGAGGAATACTCGGAGGTTTTTCTGACATAAAATAATATTGTTCTATCACTTCTACCGTATAATTATAATACCGAACCAAAGACTTGGTTACAATAGCGCAACAGCATACCGTACATGGTGCGTGTTTCTAAAAGAAGAAACTTTGTGGCACTCAATTATGCCTTAGGCCTTTCATTAATTGTTATGTTTTGCTGCTATGCTGTTAATTGGTAAAAGAAGGGCTTAGAAGGCTGGAGCAAAAAAATATTTAATTTATTAGTCTGCGCACTTAAACCACTTATATCCTTTACTAAGGATAGCTATGTAAACGCTGGCTACAACAGATAGTTAGAAACTTAGGTATGTACAGATAAGTACAAATATTATATAGGCAGATATATGGTGGACTGGTAGCAAAGTAAATATGTAGTAGTAGACAGTAGTAGTGCATAGAATGATATAGTTTAAAGTTTTATGTGAACGCTGTATTACGGATAAGCAGACATGTGCAAGACAGAATACATCAAATTTTCACTTTTACAATTCACAATCGACATTGCTAGTACTATGTATGTTGTACACCAAGCTTCTTTATATTCGCACGGGGGTTTATTTTAACGATAAGAAAAGCTGTCGGCATAGATGTACAGATAGGTAGAAGTGAAGATAAAGCTTACGGGTCAAAGTTAACAATATGTTCAGGCAGTTTTTAAGGAATACCAATAAGTGTGTGTTCGGTATCAGTTGGCAAAAACGCTCAAGTTACGGAAATACATCGGCCAAACGTAAGCATTACGTAGGCAAACGATTAAATTAGCTAATTATCTGTACTCGTTTACCTGCGTAGTGCTGCATGTGTATATACTATATATATATATATACACATGCAGCACTACGCAGGTAAACGAGTGCTGGCAGTGGCAGAGAATAAGGTATATCTTATTCTCTGCCACTGCCAGCATGTACAAATTGTTAAATCCTACATATAATTTCACTCTAAGCATCCAAACAGAACAACAGGCGTTTTTGGACAAGCCTCTCGCGCACTTTAATGATTACCATTGTTCTTTAAAGGTTACGGTATTGATAACAGTTACCTGAGCTGAGCAAGCACTGAAAGTTAATAAAAAAACTCATCGGCATCACGACAAACCCCGGTGCCATAGGGGCATCTTTCCCAAAGTTAATCGCTGCAGCAATCAGAATAAAAATCTAAATCTGCGCAGGTAATACGCTCGTCGTAATAGTCATCACTGTCCGAGTCGTACTGGCCGCCAAGTCTACGTTCACGCACTGGCGTCAGGGTTTTTGACAGGACTAACAGTGCTCGGAAGGTAATCATGGGAAAAGTGGAAAGATTACTGCTCAAGTATTCGAATACATCTTTCCATTCCATGTCCGGTCTGAAGCGGCTATCAGCTGACTGCCATTTCCTCAAGATCTGTAATACAAAGTACATGCTCGGGACAAATGTTCATTACATAACTTTGCAATTCACGTTAATATTGTTGCTGCCAACACTCACTGTCATAATTTCTTTTTGGCGAATAGGTTTACTGCTCGCCTCGCCGGTCCACTCCAGTAAGCGCTGTAAGCGCTCTTTGTGCGCAGGGATGTTAAAGTCCAGTGGCGCTACTAGCTTTAGTAATTCGATGAAATCAGTTTCAGTATGAACATTCACAATAAAACAGGTTAGCGTTACATCCAGAAATGGCCGATTATCCTCCTCGTCAATGTCACTCACACAATTGGGAACCAGGAAGTGCCACAGTTTAAAATTTTTTAAAATAACCCGACTCAGTGGAGATTCCATTATTTTTGACAATGACGAGCGCATTTTGTTCAAAACTGCCATATATTTATCGACAATTGTCTCTACCCATGGACATGGTCGACGAATCCATAACTGCGAATCGGAGAAAACCAATGTTGCTGGAATCGGCTGGAAGATCCTGAGGTCTTCCAGAAGTTGTACTGTACCCAGAACGCCAGTATCGACAAATAGCGCATATTTGATGGCACTCGTGATACAGTGGCTTAACCACATCATCCCGACAAATTCACTGTCCCGATCTTCAGGCCAGTCAAACGTTATTATCGCCACCTGCCTACAGTCTGGTTCCAGGGTTGCCGAATTCCAGCTAGCGCAAACAGAACGCATGATTGCCTTGTGCCGTTCATCCAGAACCGAAAATATGCCGGTAAAGATATCGTAGGGAAGGTCAGTAATGGTTAATTCCTCCGCACACGGAGGTCGTTTCCCTGGTTTGATTCTTGCGACAGTATGCTGAGCGTTGGGTTCGCCGGTAGAAGGGAAGGAATGTGAGTGGTAGATGTCGCTGCCGTAGTAAAGAGGGCCTGCGGCATTTCGGTATCCGCCCCGATAACTTTCCGTTTCCGATTCTTTTAGTATCGCGGCCTGAAATAGACTGAAGGGCTGCAGTAAATTGTGTTAGTTTTTTTAAAAAAGCGTTTTTTTCTATCTTGAAAAATGCAGTTACTGTAACTTCTCTAGGAATGAAGAAAAACCACTATATCACCTTATAAATAATGCGATAGACTTCCATTCTTCAGATATTTTCTTTTTACTGGTTTCTGCACTTTTGAATGCCTTAGACAGGCAGCCGCAACGACGTAATGACTAGTTTCTGAGCATTTACTGCTATGATGAACCATAATGGAATACTCGATACGAGTGCGGCATGTTTGGTAGCTAACGTATTTGCACTGCAGTAATAAGTGTGGCGACTTATTAGCACTCGTTTTTTCTAAAACGTATTTTATAATAATGTAATAACAGAGTAATAACCCTTTTTTTTAATCACCAATAGGACTGTAAGTAATTACCACTTTGTTTTGGTCAAGCATTTCGTCGTAGCGTAACTGAAGAAAGGTGACACAACTGTTCTCAATTTTGATCAGATGAGTGCGATCGAAATATATTTTCCAGGACTTTATCACTGCTGAACTAAGAGCAGTAATGTCCTCGGGTACCGCCAGTTCTTCTTTGAGAATATCATTCCTTCGTAACAACTGCCCGGTGTGTGGAAGGCAGCGAAGGCGATCCCGCTCAACGACGGTGACAATGCGCTCATCCGCATGAAATACTTCCACCAGTACATAGCGATTAGATGAGCCCGGCGACACCTTGCAGTCGTACCAGGCCCATGATTGACTGGATGATAATTTTAATAGGACACTGCGCAATTCATGATCAGACGGATTGTAATTCCAGCCTGGCAGCGCCTGCCGCCTGTTGCGTCCTGATGACTCTCGATTGAGTCCGTTATCCAAGAATATGGTGTCATGACAATATGGGATGACCTCCGGCTTTTTACCCACGATGCCAAAGTCCACAACCCATCCCGAGTCCAGTTTATCGACAACAAGGCCCTTTGAAGGAGTCCGTTAACCATGACATCCGCAGAGTTCCAATGATTAACTTTCTTCGCAAACATTTTATTCGCTAGATATAAAATGAGTAGTATGGCACTATGGCTCAGTGCTGTGTAGAATACAAAAAACATAAGATTTAATCAACAATGTAAATTGTAAACACGAATGTTGATGTAAAGCGCATCGGCGTTTGCGAGACAGGTAAAAAAGCACGTGTTTGGAAAAAAAGCGCATTAATTTTGCCGGTACAGCACATTTATAATCCGGTTAGTCATGTTTAGCGGCTATAAGTACGCAGTGGCTATATAAAACATTTACATTTACACGAATTCATCATGTGAGCACTGAACCTGGTGTATCCGTTAACCGTTTAGCTTACGGCTGCAGTTTTATCACCACTTCAGACACCACGCGCGTAACATGACAACTACAGTAACTCTAACAATAAGCAGGCACGGAATGCTATCATCTTGCTTCCACACATACAGAGTATACTATAGCGACTGTGGTTAAATTCAAATAATTAGAACTTTATTTGATTGGTCAGTCTGTGTGGATTGATGAGTCACAGCTGGCTAGTGTGTTAACGGTGTTTAACGGTGTGATGTGAAATGGGAAATTGGACGCTGATCAGTCGGTGATGGAGTAACTTTCTGATTCTAATAAATTTGTCCATGGGCAACCTCTCGATCGATCGTTCGTCGTGACCTCTCGTTTTATCTTCTGCACATTTCCCTTCATCCAGAGGAACAGTAAGATCTCTTCCTGTTTGTGGGTTTCCAGTTGCGTAATATTAGACCACCAACATCGGTCTGTTGCGGCGTGGCGCGGCGTGTAACCCACAGTAAACGGGAGCTCACCGTCAGCCTTCCGTTGTATGGCGCTTCCTGACATCAAAGGATCGCAAAGCCTCCTTCAGAACCCAACGTAGAGACGGACTGGACTTTGGTGCAGCATCGTAGTGCAAAGCGTATGTGCAGTGGTGTCCCAGACCGAAGTGTAGAAGCAGATCATCATAACAGTACTCTGGATCAGAAGCCGTAGCGTACAGGATCTCGTGGGCAGACTACAAACGTTGGAAGCAACGCGAACAGGAACGTAAGGGTAAGCACTAATATCCTGAATCATTATCATAAAGATTGTGAGGATTTGAAGCAGATTTTATTTGTGAAAACCTACGCATTGAAGAATCATTTTACTCGTATTGAGGACTGACGTTTTAACGTAGTGCAGTATCCTGTGTGTGTCCATACTCATGGTTTACTTCTGATGCAATCGTATGAAGTTTATGAAAATTTCTGGTTTGAATTCGTATGAAATCCATCTGAAAATTTTGAGAACTGCTGTATTTTATGAAAGTTTTGTAGAAGGGCAGAATTTTCGTTTCTCGTGAGGATTTTCCGAAACGTGCCTAGACGTGCAAAAATTTGCATGTAAGCTTGAGATCGTAAATTTGATAAGCGTGCGTCGGCATGTCGACCACTGAACCGACAGCGCGAGGCAGCGCTGATAGAACAAAAAGATGAAGAACTGGAAGCAGAGCGCAGACAGATCGTAGAGTTGTTGACTCAAGTGAAACGGGCGAAAGTTAACGAAATTGCCAGTAGAATTAATGCAGTATTAAAAGTAACGATGAATAATAATGAAGCTGTGAGCATATTGCCAATTACTGTATTCAGACTGGAATTTCGTATGAAGATCTAAAACAACTGCAGACATTAAGGAATCGGATTATTGGCGTAGAGGTAAAAGATAGAGAAGCTAGAGAATGTCTCGGAAAGTGAGCACAGAGAAAGTCACACAGTCAGAGTGATCGTACAGTGAATTATTTAAAGCTTATCAGCGGAAAATCTGGCAGTTGTATCGAAACTACTTAAAGTTTAAAGATGCAGAGACAAAACGTTAATGAACTGCGAAATCGTTTGAACGATTGGACAAGAAAATATGCATTTGAGAATCGGACTATCAACGTAGAAGATGAAGAAACTGAAGTACATGTGAATGCAACTGATAATGAGATTAAGTATGAACCAGTTAAAACTGAACGTACTCAAACTGAAGAAAATATCGCAAGTTCGCAAACGTAACAAGTACAGATATCAATTCGTTAATTTCGGCATTAAATTCGTATGTTATTAATAACAACAGCAGAAACGTAACAAAAGATCATACAATTGAAAAATTTAAAAACAAGTCGAATTACAGCATAAAGCATTTTTCAGCAGTTTGACCGCGTAGCAGATAATTTGAACTGGTCATCAGCAAAGCGTATCAGTATGTTACCAACGTATTTGGAAGAAGGTCCGCGTAAATTCTTTGAAAGTATGTGGTCAACAAATAGCAGAAAATCATATGCAGAATGGAAAGATATATGTGTTTACGTTATCTGCCGGAAGATTATAAGCAAGTAAAGCGTATGGAGCTGGCACAGAAAACCTTAAAGCCTGGTGAAAATGTAGAGGAATTTTTTGATGAGATGTTAGACTTAATGCAGGAAATTAATCCGAATATGGCGGAAGAGGATAAGATTGCTGAAATACGTAGAGCTATTGACAGTAATGTCGAGTATCGTAAGCTCTAGCAGTAGCTAAAGTGAATACAATTCCGGAAATGCGTAGAGTTTTAAGTAACTTGGCACGTATTGACCAGTCGGAAACGAAAGAAACTATGCAAGTAAGTACGGCACAGGCAGTTAATGCGTATGAATACAGACGAGACCGAAGTAGATCTTTTGACAAATTTAGATCTTTTCGGGAACGTAGTGGATCTCGCGATCGTAATGATTTCCGTAGCAATCAGTACAGTAATAACCGATATAGTAATAATAGCAGGAATACGTATGCAAATCGGATATCCGTACTGATAATCGTTATAATAGTAACCGTGATACTCGTAATGATTTTCGTTATGGCAATCGCGATTCACGTACGTATGAGAATCGTGGCAGAAATGAAAGATGGAACCGGGATGAGCGAGGACGTAGTGGTAGTCGCGATCGGGTGACCGATTTCGCCGAGATTTCTCCCGTGATCGTAGTGGAAGTCGGGACCGTGATAAATCGTAACAGAGAACGTAGTGATAATCGTAGATTTTCTCGTTCTCGTAGCCCTGGACAACGTGATTTACCAATTACGCAGTGGAAGTTCAGTCGTAATGAGATAGATTTCTCATCGTACAGACTAAATAATGGATTGTACTTTTGTCCTAAGTGCTTCGATTATCGGCATGGGTTTCGTATGTGTCCTTTCATTAAGAGTCGTAGAGATTTAGAATCTATATTGCCAAAATGTCCTGAAGATAAGAAGCGAGAACTACAGCGAGCGTATGAAGATGAAGTAGAAAAGGAAATCAGAACGATAACTGGGTGTCAGAAGAGGGAAAAGACTGTCGCCATACGTAAACGGAGGTCCGTATGGCCGCGTAAACAGAAAGCCTCCTGTAGACCGTATTGTGTCATTGAGTGGCACCGTACCGCTGAAACGTAGTGAGCTGAGTACTAATGTACACGGTGGACCGGCATCATGTAAACCCAGCGAAGGTAAGCGTGATTATAAACGGACAGGAAATAGAAGCTCTTATAGATACTGGTGCAAGTACTAGCATAATGAGCTATCCTATGATGTTAGATCTTAAACTGCAACGTATTGAAGCACCGGAAGGCAGCAGCTAAGATTTACCACCATAAGTAATGATGTGAAAGAAAGTAGACCGTGCTACACCGAATGTGAAATTATTATGGGTCAACATAAATTCAAGCAGGACTTTTGGTTATTAAGTACTGCACCACAAGAATTTTGCATACTCGGAAATGATTTTATTAAGCGTGAAGGCGTAGTGATCAATACTCAGAAAGGTTACATATCATTTGAAGCGTATGAATCTGTACGTGAAATTTCGAAATTAATTGCTAGTATCGATACAGATATGAAATCAAAAGCGGAGTGCGTAGAGTGCATAATGGAACAATATTATGCAAATAATCGTATTAAATACGTAACTGAAGAAAATTATGCATTCAGATTTGAGATTGAAAATAAAAGCACAGATTTCGTACATAAAAGTATGAAGACCGGTACTTACAGAAACAGTGCGTATCAGATACGCAAGATATTAAGTAATTTTAATTACGTAACGAAAACACAAGCAAGAGTGCAACGTATGCAGAATAAAATTGAAGAAGAAGAACTGCAGAGTACTAGTACTGTAGTACTAGATAATTCCACAGCCATAAAGACAGTAGTTAGTACGGATAAATCAGTACAGTGTGAGGTACAAAGTACTGATGAAGTACGTGATGAAGCTGACGTAATCGATAAAGCAGTTAACGCTGCAACCGATGCGAGTGGAGAATATGACTGGAATCGTACGCGAATTAAATTGAGTAATAATACTCATATTAAACCGAAAACTGGTGTACTTCTAGAAGTGAATGTACCTGATCAGTACACAGGCAATATGAGACTTTTTTCCTGAAGGTACCTTACTGTTTAACCATCACGTATCGGTCGGTAACAGTATCGTACAAGTGGAGGATGGTAAAACAGCAGTACTAATCACCAACTTCTCTGATCGGGCTATACGTTTACGTAAAGGTCTTATGGTTGGTGTTGCAGAAATTATTGAAGAAGGTGAAGTGGTCGCAGAGAATGTATTCAGTACTTCTACAGCTGTCGTAGAAGAGACAGATCATGGAGTTAAAGTTAACGTATTGGATCAAATTAGTGAGATGAAATTTAACCCTAAATTAACCAACGATCAGCGTAAACGTCTGGTTAATTTATTCGTAAAGCATCATGCAGTATTTCCCTGTGAGAATCGTAAATTAGGTGAATGTTCAGAAGTAACGCATGAGATAGAAACAGGCGATCATCCGCCAATTAAGAAACTACCGTATCGTACTTCCTATGCGCAACGTATGATTATTAAGCAGCAGGTAGATGAAATGGAAAATAATGGTGTAATTCGCAAATCAACTTCACCATGGAGTTTTCCTGTCGTACTCGTTAAGAAGGCAGATCCGAATGCAGTACCAAGATTATGCATTGATTTTAGAGAATTAAATAAGATATATCATAAATCGGCGTGGCCGTTGCCGAACGTAGAGGATGCCGTAAATAGCTTTGGAAACTCAAAGTACTTTTATAGTCTAGACTTCAATAGCGGATTTTGGCAAATACGTATGGCAGAGCGTGATGTTAAAAGTGCTCATTCGTGACAAGACGGTCAATTTGAATTC